CTGGGGAATTCTGGGAGTTGAAGTCCACACATCTTAAAGTTCCCACGGTTGAGAAACACTGCTCTATGGAATTGTACTTATCATGGCTCTTGGAGTTTATTAAAATCCACTTTTCCTTAAAATCAAGAATTTAAGCATTACATGGTCATTACCCCTTGATGTTTTTTTTTGTTGTTTCTTTATTTGCTACTTCTATTCTTTGACTAAATGTTCCCTGCGGTTTGTATCAGGTCAAGCATGACTGGTCCTCTTGTGCCTTTTTCTACTCTATGAAGTTTAAGTTATCAGCAAGCCAAGTCAGGAAATTTCCTGGAAGGACCATGTTTGACAGTGATTCCCAACAGATGTCACTGAATTAAAAAAAAAAAAAAAACCCTTCACTACAATACTACAATTTAAGATAGCTATATACAGTACCACTCTATGTCAACATCTGGACACAGGGCAATTTACATAATTGGGCTGTATCCCTCACCAAATGACATATTACAGGCTTCATATTCCATTCATGCTGCTCTCTTATCACCCTGACAGGCTGTTATCATTTTAGATTTACCATTTCCTAACTTCATTTCCTTCACTCAAGCAAAGCTGTACAGAAAGGATGTACGTACATCAGCAATTCATGTTCCCCTTGGCAATCAACCACAGCTGAGAAGTTCCAGAAAGCCTTCTGATTTGTCCCATTTTAATTTGGTAAAATATTTTTTTCCTGTTCAAATGTTGCTGTTATTGTTGTGTTAATATATTTTGATGCTGATAAACTTTCATGGGTACTGAGCTGATTTTCTTTAGCCAGCAAAGACAATGAATTAAAAATAAAATATATCATTCTTCTTCTGATAAAGGCTTCGGGGCTTTTATTCTCAGCAAACAAAAAACTAACAATGGTAAGTTTCTAGCAGGCTAAATCTACAGTTGTTAATCCCATAAATGAAAGATGCTCGCTAGACAGTAAAACTCAATGAACACAGTGGGACTTACTTTTGTACAAATACGCACAAGAATACACTGCCAATCATAAATCCACACTTTGAAAGGTTAGTGTTGATTAAACAAAAATACTTCCTGACTCCCAATTACCTAATAATAACTAAGCCACAATTAGACCATGGCTTGCTGAATAAACTACAATTACCTGGATTCCTCCTTATATACTAAGCTATAAGCTACCATTCAAACCATAATAGCTCGGTTCTCATAACATGAAAAATCAAAGCCAAACGTATTATATTGTATGACTTAAGAACCCAGGTAAAAACTCTGCTCCACAGAGAACGTCTGTGAGCGGATCCATCAGGAGTGGGTTTGGGATTATTATTCTTGCACACCTGTTTCTGGTACTGTACTGATCCTGAATTCCTGAACAAAGCATCCATGAATGCTGGGTACAACTCACTAAAAGCAAAGTAAATTCTGCAAGCTTGACCATGACTGGTATCCCACAGGAGTGCTTCCTCATTTTAAATGAAATGGGCAACTCTCACTACTCTGTGTGTGTGTGTGTGTGTGTTTAAATAAAAATTATCCCTTGGCTTTTAGCTCTCAGAAGGCCCTTCCCCATGGCATTCCGCCCGTTTAATTTTTTCCAGATGAGCTGAGAGAAATCACAAGTTCCAATAATGAAACAAAAATTTTAAAAAGAGCATTAATAATACCCAAGAACACTTAGAACTTCATGCTAGTCCTTCTGTCCTGCTGTAACTAAATACATCATATGACTGAAGGAAATATATATCCTTCCACAAAAGGAGTCTAAAATTTTTGATTATGGGCTTTTATCTGTAAAAAAAATCAGAGCATGCACTTTGCGTTTATATATCTTAGCATTTATTTATAAATTATATACATGTGCTAATATATTACGTGCATTATAGAACACACCTGAACATATGTATATTCTATATATTAAATATTAGCATAGCCTAACTTCTTGGCTATTTTCTGAGATAAAAATATAAATAGACATTCTAATATTTTCTCCCATATTCCAAGAGATCACCTTGTGCATCCGACTTCGGAGATCACAGTTCTACAAGACTGAAGTTATTTTTCTCAAAGTTATCATGAAAAAAAGAATAGTTCTCCACCATGGATGGTGGCAAGGCTGGAACTGGTTTCTAACATCGCATTTCTTTCTTTGACACATAGACTGACCAGCAATTTTAATAAAAGGGATCCATGTAGGCCCCAGCATCTGCAAATAAGTTTTATAGCAGGATGATCACCCCAAGGACCAAACTCTACACCCCACTTTGGTTAATACAGCCATTCCAACTTGGTGACTTTCAGATCTGCAGCACCTACGCCATCCCCATGCTGGCTGGGGATAATGGGAGCGGTTATACCAGCACATTTGGAGGTTGCTAGGCTGGGAAAGCCTGGCCCAAACCGTGTTTTTTGCAGAAGACGCCTGGACACAGAATTCCTGCAGACCACGCTTGGGAACCTGTTCCCTGAGTGCAAAATCACTTCTCGGGCCACTTGCTTGCCTTTTAACCCCGCGACATTTCTGCAAAGCCTCCAGCTCTCAGCAGAGCAGCAGGGCGCCTCCTCAGGGCACCTCAGCCAGCAGGAGGCTCTTCCCTCCGCAGAACGGCTCTGCTCCACCTCAGATGCCCAGCCAGGAGAGGCACCCTGATATTCACCAGGCCACTTTTCTACCCCGTCTCGTCAAGTACCCGGGCCCGCACCGACGGGGAACGAGCGTCGCACAAGCCACCCTCGAAGTTGAAACGTGGGCCAACTATCCCAGTTTGCACGCTCACTCCCACGCGTTTCCCATTCACCGCCGCTTTTCTGAAGCAAAGAAGCACGAGCGTGCTAATTGCACAGACTCCTGCTATTCAAATCACGCCCCCGACCATCAACGCCATGAACCTTCCACCAACCTCACAGCTATTCCCACTCGTCCAGCTTCCTTGAACATATAATCCAAGCGTGCGACGCCTCCCTTTTACAATGACCGCTTGTGCAAGCCCCGCCTCTTCCAACGGAGCCGGCCGGTCACCAGTCTCCCGCAGCCAACGGCTAGGAGAAAACAGCGTCGCCCCCTCAGCAGCGCTCCGTGTTATGTACCACGTCCTCCGCCGCCCTGCACATCTGCCGCCGCTGCCTTTTGCTTCTCCCGAAGCCTTTTCACCCGTAGCTGCGGTGTGCTCTCGGAAGTTGTAGTTCTTCAGAAGCCACTGCCTGTAGGACTGAACCAGAGGCTAGACGACAAGTTCCGGCATTCTCCACGAGCGGAAGGGTTGGGAACCGCCTTTCAAGTCATGTGACGAGGGGCGATTGGCTAACGGATCCGTCAAGAAAAAGAAAGCATAAACTTCCTATAGAATCATACAAGAGGTTGTGATTACGAGTTTCCTTTAAATATTTCCCCTCCTCTGAGAAAATGTGAAAGCTTATTATTATAAACATTCCGTGAGACTTGGTGACCTCCAAAGATTTTGGCCATTTAAATATAGGGATGTAAGCAACCAGCCTTAGAATTGCCAGGAAAGATTCTGAAGTGGTAGATAGCTTCTGCCTTTTAGGGTCAACTGACAATAATAAAAAAACAAGGAGTCAAGAAATATGCTGAAGGCTACCACTTGGAAATTTGAAACAGTGGTTTTCTATCAAACACATCAAATTTTATTTAATTACAGTCAATGACTACCAACCTCCCCCCACCCCAATGCTCAGAAACAATGGTCAAATACAAAAATAAAACAATCTAACAGTCACATAAAACCTAAAAGATGAAGACTTAATACTGGAGAAAAGAAAGAATTGAATAAAACAGCATAAAATAGATAAAATAGAAATTGTGTAAAATACAGGAATACAGCACAATAAAAGGGGGGGGGAACCTTCATAATGTCAAGATGGATTATATCTTGGATATAACTCCAAGATTATATCATTTTATGCCTTCTTATGGAAATCACTGCAGACAGCTCAGAGTGATGGTAGAGTTTTAATGTGCAAGTAGGAAAAGGATCCAATTAAGACCTTGGAAAAATATTCAGCTGTCCTGTTGTGTCCATACCTACAAAGATCAGAATTGTGCAAGCCGTTGTATTCCCTGTGACACTCTATGGAAGTGAAAGTTGAATAGGAAGAGTATAGATGCTTTTGAACTCTGAGGTTGGAGAAGACTCCTGAGAATATTGTGGACAGCCAAGAAAATAAACACATGGATCATTGAACAAATCAACTCAGACTTGTGCCCGAGCCTGGGGTCCTAGGTGTGAGACAGAACCTGTCTCCTTTTTTCTTTAAATATAATTTTTATTAAGAATTTTAATTACAATAGTAAAAACGAATACAAACTAAACTTAGAGAAAGAAAATAGAATGGAAAGAAAGAATAAAAAATGCAGGAAAAAAGAAAAAGAAAGAAGAAAAAGAAAATAAAGAATATGATAAAGAAAAATAAAGGAAATATATAAAGAAGTTATTTCCAACCTTTATCACAACAAGTATCAGCAAATGTAATAACTCTTCACTCCCCCCCCCATAATGTTAAACAGATATCTCTTCATCCCATATCTCATCTCATATCCATAAGCAATTCCATAAAACATCAACTTTTCAATCCTGGTGTCAGCGAAAAGTCTATAAAGAGTTGCCAGAATGTTGCAAAAAAAAAAAAAAGCTTTTTTTTAACTTTGATCAAATAAACCAACTTATTTCCTTTCTTTTCCTTCTAACAGTCTTAATCTTTAAACCAACTATATTCCTTTCTTTTCCTTCTAACAGTCTTAATCTTTAAACCAACTATATTCCTTTCTTTTCCTTCTAACAGTCTTAATCTTTAATTCAATCAAATATTGTTGTAGGATTTGATTTCTCTTCAATTCTTCTTTATCCCATCAGACAGAGTTCCTCAAAGTTTTAACAAGCCTCTTTTGTAGATCCAATAAGAAAACATTTTGCAGGTCATTCTCTTAGTTTACCATTTGTATTTCCCTCTTAATTTTTAAATCTTCAGCCAGTTTCTTTTGTACATCCAATACAGCATTCTTTTCCGAATCATTCTCTTGGCCTGTCATTTGTAGTGCCACATTCTGTATTTTCTCTATCTTATCAGATAAAATTTATTCCATATCTGTCATTCCTTCATTAACATCTTTTAGATGTAGTCTATCCACAGAAGCAGACATCATTACTGACAGTGTTGATATTGTAGTCACTAAGTTCTGACTCTGTTCTTCAAAGATCTCCTTTAATATTTCTGATGTTACAACATTTTATGTCATTTTGTAAGTCCCGGTATTAACTGACATCAAGCCTATATTTTTTTCGTACTTAAAATCTTTAGTCCCCTCTAGTGTTCAGTTCACTTATCTTTTGTTATGACTTGCAATAACCAGGATAGTTAAAATAAGTTTCCCATGAGAAGTTGCTTATTTTTTATAGTTAATTCCAAAATCTTATAGTAAAGGTCAACATTCCAAATATTCCAAACAGACCCTTAATGCATTTATAACTTTCTTAGATCAAAATCTTATTTAGCTTTTTGCTGTTTATTTCAAATTCTTTAAGTTCTTAAGCTTGGAATTAATTTTTCTTTTGTTCAGAGTTGAAGATAAACTCACCTGATGAACAATTTTCAAACCTGTCATTCTGAAAGTCTCTAATAGCTTTATGATGGTTAATAGGCAATTTCCGAAAGTGATTAGAAAGTGAGGTTTGCAAACTTAGTGTCCTTTAAAAGTCTCTGCCATGGTTGCAAGCAAGATGGTTAATCCTGTCATCTCCTGGCTCTCAACCCATAGAAAACTGCTGTCTTGTGGTCTCCTCACGAGGAGCAGCTGTCTGGAGTACATGTGGCAATCTCCCATCCTCTCCTTATCCAGAGAGGTTCTGAGGGTCTATTCATCCCTTTTACAGAGCCATCTTCAGCTCACCATACCTCCCTCAGAAGTCAGACAGAGGACTTCTGTCTTCTGTTTGTGTTAATGGTAGTTTTTGATGACTTCCAACCGCTGTGTGTTTTATTTTTTCTGTTATATGTGTTTTATCTATTTTATTGTATGCTGCCCAGGGTTATATGAGATAGGCAGCCATATAAATTGATTAAACAAATAAATAGTTCTCATTTGAAACACAAATGACCAGGCTGAGGTTTTCCTACTTTGCACACACGATGCAAAGACCCAGCTCTCTGCAGAAGGATGTAATGCTGGGAAAGGGGGAAGATAAGATCAGAAGAGGACGACCAGCAGCAAGGGGGATGGACTCAGTTAGAGTAGCAATGAGTACACCATTGGAAGACCTGAAAGAACAGGTTAGGAATAAATCTTCATGGAGAAAATCTATCTATGTGGCCACTAAGAGTCAACACTGGGTTGATGGCATACAATCAACATGCACATGTATATGTACAGTATATATGTATATGTATACACGCACATGCACAAACACACACACGCTAGCCCCAGAATCTATGTGCTGTGAATCTCATTGACTTAGTTTACTCAATTAAAATCAATAAGCAAACTGTGGCTTATTGCAGAGGCCATGTTTGTATAACCCTTTAAACAACTATTACATCGTTTTGTTTTTGTTACAGGGTACTGTAGGAACCCAGCTAGTTAACAGTTCTGTGTATCGTGTGAACCTCTGTCTAATAACCAGAAATATGTGAATTGGTCTTCCTTCTCCTAGTTCAGAAAACGGTCAGTGTGCTGTGGCGCATCACTTGGGCTGTAGAGAGTCTGGTAGGGCCCTGTCAAGTATTCATACCAGGCTTAATTCTTGCTACTGGCAATTGGTTATTTTCTGTATCATCTTGGCAGTGTGTGTGTGTGTGTGTTGGGGGGGGAGAATAATTTATTGGCTGCAGGGTCTTGAATGTCTATCCCAGCGTTTCTCAACCTTGACAACTTCGAGATGTGTGGACTTCAACGCCATGAGGATTAATTCAGCAAGTGCAAACCATAAACATTTGATCAGATGCGGGGGGGGGCTCACCAGCAAACAGATTGAATGAAGGATCCCGAATACCGTACAAAGTCCCCAAAGCTCTTATGCCAAAGAATACGCAAATATAATTGCATTGCGGTTTTCCGGGTGACATCAGGCTGTTGCAAGAAATGGCCATTTTTACTACTAACCAGGAGCTTTCGAGGCTCACCCTGCCGCGAACTTTTATCTTTTCCACAACTTCCTTAATGTTGTCCTATTTAAAAAGAGCCTAATTAGTCCCATCAGTAAAACATTCAGGAACAGCTTCCCCAGTGCTTCCCCATGTCAGAAGGGCAGTGGGTTTGAATGCTGCATTTGCCATTATAAACCCACTTCCCTGTTGCATAATTGAAAACTTCTTGAGAAGTTGAAAAGAATCCCAAAAGCCAGGCTCAAAAGCCAGGCTGTTTGCTTCCTTTAGTTGCTTTACAATTCTTGCTTGCTTAATTAGAAATGTTGAAACATTAATGCAGTGTTTCTCAACCTTAGCAACTTTAAGATATGTGGACTTCAACTCCCAGAATTCCCCAGCCAGCCTTGCTGGCTGGGGGATTCTGGGAGTTGAAGTCCACATATCTTAAAGTTGCTAAGGTTGAGAAACACTGCATTAATGGAATAACAATAGGAGGCTGACTCTAAGATTGAGTCAGCCTCCTATTGTTATTCCATTAATGCAGTGTTTCTCAACCTTAGCAACTTTAAGATATGTGGACTTCAACTCCCAGAATCCCCCAGCCAGCAATCCCCCAGCCTCCTATTGTTATTCCATTAATGCAGTGTTTCTCAACCTTAGCAACTTTAAGATATGTGGACTTCAACTCCCAGAATCCCCCAGCCAGCAATCCCCCAGCCTCCTATTGTTATTCCATTAATGCAGAAGTCCACATATCTTAAAGTTGCTAAGGTTGAGAAACACTGCATTAATGGAATAACAATAGGAGGCTGACTCTAAGATTCTATTATTCACAGGCAATTCCTTATGTTTTATAGCTAAATCAGTTCTATTCCTAATCTCGTTTCATCAAGAGATAATGGGCTTCCTTTTGGGGGTGTCACACAAGGTCCTGGAGCTAAACTTGCACACCTGTTGTGGGACAGGAAAAATAACTCCAGACAGGCAAGTGCCTTCTGTCCAAGAGTGTCCCCAAGATGGCTGGCTGGGGAATTCTGGGAGTTGAAGTTCACACATCTTAAAAGTGGCTGAGGTTGAGAAACACTGATTTACAGCACGTCATGATGCGGGAATCCAGCTACATTCATGCAGT